TTTTAGTGTTGTGGCCTATTATGGCAGTGTAAATACTAAGCCAAAATTTTGGTACGAGACTGGTAGTGTTGACACATCTGCCTTATGCATTTACTTTGAGAGTGCACGCTTTCAGATATTCCTGGGACTAATAAATTTTGACTAGTTTGTCACACGGAAAGGGAGGGGGTGGGGAGGTTGTATGATTTTCACTAGCATAAGAACCGAGCAGTTATGGGTCTCATGTCTGCAGGAAGGTTAGAACTCTTTTAACTACTTATCGCTTAGAGAACGCATATTCATACTAACATTGTGTGCTACCAGTACCAGATGTGAACATTATCAAAGGCTAACCTAAGTAGAATTACCAAGTGCGAAATAAGATGCTTAAGAAAAGCAGCCAGCTTAACATGCTGAGATAAAGTAAGAAATGATATTGTCAGACAGACTGTAGGAACAACACCATACAGCAAATTTATGGAGAAACAGAATTTCAAATGATTTGGTCATTTAGTAAGAATGCAGGCACATCTACTACCACGAGCTACAAGTGAAAAGATTGATTTGATTTGATTTGACTAAAGAACCGACATCACAGCTCTCGTGGCATTCCCATAAGCGCTCTGTCCCCATTTTCAGCAGCCAGCGAAGAGTTCCGATACTAATGGTGCCAGTAGCATTCTGATTAAACATCAGTCTTGCCTTTCCTCTGAGCCTTGAGCATCTGCCAGAACCTCTCGTCACTCCCAGCTGCACCAATCTCACTAGACTGTGGTGATCCATCTGATCCTCCTAACTGTACAAGCTCTCCCACAAGGCACTAACCCCGTCTGCCTTATCATGCATCAGTATTCCACTAAGCTGTGCATTTCCCAACACACCGGCATACCCTGATACGTAAAAAGATCTGTGGTGAAAACTAGGGCTGTACCGAATATTCGCTTCGTATTCGTTTTGGGGCCGAACAGTGGACCTTTTGACTATTCGGTATTCGCCCGAATAGTTGTGGTCGGGCCGAATACGAATAGTAGTTACCTTACACCCGCTTTTGCATACACAGCTTAATGCTGACAACATGGAACGATTGGTTTTGTTGAAAGATAATGCAGCTTTCATGCATTAACTAAGCTGTCAGTGACAATTTCCAAGTCTAGTTACTTGTTATAATATTTAGGATTCTTTCAATCCTAATTATAAATTCCGGCCACAAACAAGTCGATAATATGAAAATCAAACGAACGGAAACATATAAGTACTTGGGTACAAACTTCAACTGTTCCAACATACTGGGAGAAGAAATACAATATAGAAATAAAGTATACTATGTCCTTCAACATCTGCTAAAGTCAAAGTGTCTGTCTCGCAACACCAAAATATATAAAACGTTGAAAAGACAAGTCGTTTTATTTCGCTCTGAAACTTAAAGCAGAAGTAAAAGAGATGAGGCCTTATTACAGGTTTTCAAAAACAGTTCTACGACAAATCTTTGGACCCATCAAAGATGCTAACAGCGGGGAATGGAGAGTCACAAGCAACAAAATAACACATAACCTGTTTAAATCACCATTGATCACTGGCATCATGAGAGCTAACACACTAAAATGGTTGGGGCATATTGAAAGAATGTCAGATGACAGGGAAGTAAAAACTGTATACACATGAGAGAAGAATGGGCGTAGACCACGAGACAGACAAAAAATAAGTTCGAAAGATAATGTCCAGCCAGACCTGCAAACAACTGATGTCACAAATTGTGAAGATAAGGCATAAGAGATGCATGGAGACGAGTGATATCTGAAGCAGTAAACCTCAAGGGTTCAGAATGCTAAAAAAGAAAATGACTATTCTGTGTTACTTTATGTGAAGTAAAAGTTCAGCGTACATTTGACATTATAAATGTGTGTTTTTTAGATATATTTTATACACTATACACTATTCGTATTCGTATTCGGCCGAACAGTTGGTCCCGCGATTCGTATTCAACTGAATAGTGAAAACCACTATTCGGTACAGCCCTAGTTTCCAGGACTATACCTGTTCAGCTACCTTGTGTGTAGATGTTTAGGGAGGCAATCTAAATAGCTCAAGGTTGGGTCGAAATGGTAGCCAGACTCAATTTTTTGAAGAAAAAAAAAGCTGACTCCACCAGGACCCGAACCCACCACCTTCCGATTAGCAGGCCAGCGTCTAGTCGCTACACCCTAGTGGCTCCCCGCTACACCCTAGTGGTTCCCGCTACAAGAGAGAGAGAGATAGCGGGAGAGAGAGAAAGGAGAAAGAGAAAAAAGAGAGAGAGAGAAAGAGAGAGAGAAAGGAGAGAGAGACAGAGAGAGAAAGGATAGAGAGAAAGAGAGAGAGAGAGAGAGAGAAAAGAGAGAGAAAGGAGAGAGAGAGAGTTAAGAGAGAAAGAAAGAAAGAGAAAGGAGAGAGAGAAAGAGAGAGAAAGAGAGAGAGATATAGAGAGAGAAAGGAGAGAAAGAGAAAGGAGAGAGAGAGAGAGAGAGAGAGAGAGAGAGAGAGAGAGAGAGAGCAGTCTGATCAGCTGTTCGTACATTTCTCAGTGTAACGTAACAGATGAAAATCAAGCAACAATTGCTTAATTTTCAAAACGCACAAAGAAATTATATTACAACCAATCAGATTCAGCCTTATAATTAAAAGAATGCGTTAAAATTTATTTGTGTAATAACATTTCCATACTTCGACAATGCGCTGAAAGATAGCCTGAGCTGAAACTTCTACAAGGACAACATTATTATGTAGCAGGTCCTTTGCAGAACGTCGCTCTCATCACAGTCTGCCTGAAAGAAACTCGGTCTCTCGCCTATTCTCCCGCATCATGCACTTTGTGGCTGGTGCTTAACCATAGACTTTTAAAGCTGTTCAATCTTTACAAGGACAACATGTATATTAAATAAGATCCTTTCCGTAGCAACGATTTTCTTCTTCTTCTTCTTCTTCTTCTTCTTCTTCTTCTTCTTCTTCTTCTTCTTCTTCTTCTTCTTCTTCTTCTTCTTCTTCTTCTTCTTCTTCTTTTTCTTCTTCTTCTTCTTCTCTTCGACCATTTACCTCAACTAGGTGTTGGGGTAGGGTGGGGAAGGGGGAAGATGTAAGGATCGTTGATGCGCTTTTTTTTGCGAATGCTGGTACAAGCTGGTGTTTATTTCTGTTAGGTTGCCTTCTTGTAGTGAGCCCTGCTCGCTCCAGTTCGATGTCCGTTCTCTAGTCTTCTTGTAATGAGCACGGCTCCCCCAGTTCAATGTTCGTTCACTAGTCTTTTTGTAGTGAGCATTGCTCACTCCAGTTCGATGTTGGTTCACAGTCTTCTTATGGTTAGTTCATTGCCGTTTCGCCAGTCTTCTTGTAGTGAGCACTGCTCGCTCCACTTCGATGTTCGTTTACCAGCCTTTTTGTAGTGAGCACTGCTTGCCCCAGTGGGATGTTCTTTCGCCAGTCTTCTTGAAGTGAGTCCTGATCGCTCTAGTTCGATGTTCGTTTACTAGTCCTTGTGAATTGAGCACTGCTTGCCCTAGTTCATTGCTGGTTTACTAGTCTTCCTGTAGTGAGCACTACTCGCCCCAGTTCGATGTTCGTTCACCAACCTTTTTGCAGTGAGCAACTGCTCGCCCCAGTTTGGTGTTGGTTTACCAGTCTTCTTGCAGTGAGCACTGCTGGCCACAGTTCGATGTTCGTTTACCATTTTATTAAGTGAACACTGCTAGCCCAAGTTCATTGCTGGTTCACCAGTCTTATTGTAGTGAGCACTGCTCGCCCCAGTTCATTGCTGGTTTACCAGCCTTCTTGTAGTAAACAATGCTGGCGCCAGTTAGATTTAGGTTTACTAGTCTTCTTGTAGTTAGTACTGCTCGCTCCAGTTCGGTGTTTGTTCACCAGTCTTTTTTAATGAGCACTGCTCGCCCCAGTTCATTGCCGCTTCACCAATCTTTATATATTTGTTTTATTCTCTCTCTCTCTCTCTCTCTCTCTCTCTCTCTCTCTTACATTAATTAGGTTGCAACACATTTTTTTCGTTAATTTTATTTGTTTTCAACCAAAAAGCAAAACAAAAATATAGCTGTCAGGCTGAATCTTTCCGGTGCCTTGTGGGTTTTTCATACATCCTATTTTCACCCCTCATATTCCGGCTTTTGGCGAAGACCTTATGAGAAAAACAAAAAGAATAAAAAGTTAGTTTCACTTTCTTTGCAGGACGTCACCACAGGTTAAAATAAGGTATTTATTACTGTTTGATCTCACATCATTGTCTAATAAGACAAATGCCACTACTGAGGCACACTTGCTGTCCAAAGCGGGAAAGATACATACGTCCTTTTCTGTCTTTCCAGTGTAATACTGTTCTATTGTGAAACATAAGAGTCAAAGACAGTCTAGGGATGTGGTGATGTTCCTCTCCTATAGTGTTATAGGCCATTTTTAAAAGTATCCGCTTTCAGTGGGAAGAGATAAAGATGTGACCTGGTAAACCTGCGTATTGGTTTTGCCACTGCCACTGCTACCCAGGGTTGAAGACAATTAAGTAACCTAAAGTTACAAAGTAAAAGACCATAATCTACGCCTTTACCATGTTGGGTATATGATGATAGATCTGTATTCTATAAAGACCAATTGACACACGCGCTGGGTGATGCGGTCAGCTGCGTGCTGGCCACTTTTATTTCCCAGAACTGCACTTGGGTCCCGTTTAGTATTTTGGTGTGGGGTGAGGAAAAGGAAAGGGAAGGGGAGGGGTAGGGGTAGGATATAAGTATCTTATGTGTTTCTATTCCAATTTGTTGCACAAGCTGATCTTCATTATTTTACAGCTGTTCTTGATGGCGTCATTGGGTCATCTCGATGGTCTTCCCTTTGGTCTGAGTTCATTGAATTTCTTATACGTGGCGATCTGGGACAGTTAGTACCATGGAAAATATGGAAATAGCTTAAAAATGGATATAGCTTGAAAATGTGGATATAGCTTGAAAATGTGGACAAAGACAGTGACTTACATGATGCCTCTTGTTTTAGGCAGTTTCACACTTGCCAGTTTGGCCGTTGCAGACTAAACCATCTTCACATTTGACTGTCGGTGGGGGACCGCCCTTTAAATGGAGTGTGGGACAGGTTTCTCCTACCTCTGCAAAAACGAAACATAGTTCAGTTAGAGTCTGCTACCTATTGAAAGTAAAGTAAAGGACCCCTTTCCCAGCCCTTAGGCCGTTCGATATACATAGACCTATATTTTAAATATTAGTCGTCACTCGACTGGTGATGTGAGTAACATCACGCCAGCCACCTTTACTTCCCAGAGCCTTACCTACTACCCACTGGTACCCGAAATGACCAGCTTTGAAGTTACTTCTACGCTATTGGTGATATGGAAAGGCATTTCTCGACAGAATTATGACAAGAGACAAGATATGGGTTACCTACCTAAATGCAGAAACGAAGGAACGGTCAAAACAGTGGATGCATAGTCATTCTCAACCCCCCCCCCCCCACCCCAATTAAGCAAAAAACTTCGCTACGGGAAATGATGGTTTCAATGTTCTGGGACCACAAGGGCATTTTGTTTGACGGAATTCATGACACTAAGGATCACAATAACGTCAGAAGCATATTGCGAAACACTGAAGAAGCTTCGTTGGTCAATCCAAATCAAAGGCGCGGAATGCTCACCAGTCGCGTCATTTTCCTGTACGACAACGCGCGGTTCCACACTGCTGCCCGCACAAAGACTATACTGGTTAGTGGGAAATTTTCATGAACCCAACCTCTCCTCTTTTTACAATAGCACAGAAGGAACGTCAGAGCTGAGCATTATGACCTTCTGCTTGAAGAAAACGAAACACACCAAGAATTTCTCAGCTAGTTAGACATGCAATGACAATTTCCATGCCTATTTGCTTGTGATTCGTGAACCACTGAAGAAAGGAAACTGTAGGTTGGTGTGTAGTGAGCTAAAAGGCCACTGAATGATGCAAGCAATGCGTGGTTTCGCTTGTGGCCAAAGGTTTGTGTTTACCAGCAATGGGATGTTAATTTTGGAAAAGTTTTCGTTCACAAAAATAAATGATATGCAGGCGATAGAGCATTTGCTTTAGTGGTATTTTGTCAACACCTTCAGCTTCCTAATCTTCGCATACTCTCAGTCGTTAAACTGAAAATGTTTGCAGTAAGCAATATTCAACAGGATGTGGGCATTTTCATCCAATTTATCCTCAGAGGACGTTAGTTTAGTTCAGAATATATTTCTCTTGCAGGCAACAAATTAAAATTACCTAAACTTGATGCGGCTACTAATTGTGATAATAAATATTTACGAGCCAAAAATCTAAACAAACAACAAAGCAGTTAACAATCAAAGCAACCAAGCAACAATTAAAACAGCCAAACAGTTTAATAACCAACTAAGCAACCAACCAAGCCGCTCTTTAAGAACAACGATTCTATACTTACTAAGTAGGTGCACGCAAGCATTGCAGCATCCACAGTACCCGCCATTGGGCACAACCGTGTACTCACAATTCTCTTCTGAATACTCCATACATCTCACGATATCGCAAATGTTCGGTGAGCAGACGATGCCGAACGCCATGTTTGCCACGGCCAAGAGAGCCAGTAGTGAGAGTAGTTGTCGGTTCATTGTTATTGTCTAGAAACAAAGGAATGAAAAAAAACAAACAAACAAACAAACACGAAATAACAAAAACGAAATGTCTACCGCGAATCCTAAATGTAACCAAAAGAGACAGGATCAGAAATGACGATATCGGACGCACAAGAATTTGGAACAGAACCAGTATAAAACTATATCAAGAGACAACAGATCAAATGATCTGGACCTGTATGTCAAGACCGGGTACCTTACAATGCACTGCAGAGAGCTCTGTCACTTAGACATAATAGAAGCAGAACGTGCCACGGCCGTAAATACAATCACCAATTAGCACATATCAAGGCATTCGCCGATGTCTCTTCAAAAACTGACGCTGAAAGCCAATAGAGAACTAGAGATGAAGAAACAAAGAATGATAGTTTTTTTTTAAAAACATCTATATGGCTGTTAACATTATTATCGTTATTATTATTGCTTTCATTGTGGTCCATCACATTATTATGTTTTCGTCGCTGGCGTCTCTCCTTTGTCCCGATATAGTGTGATACTGTGCTATAGTCAGACATGGCATGGGAATACTACCCTAAGGCGATGGCGAATGTGACTACCCAAACCCGCTATCGTTAAGAAAAGTTGTCCACACTTAGAGCCTAACGACCATTGCAGCGAGTACATGTATTTACAATGCTTCTCATAGGACGCCCATCTCTACGCCCATCTCTCAACCTATCTGCAACCGTTTTCTAGTTTCCCAATTCCTTTCCTGATTTTTTTTAACCTCATCACAAAACAATAAATGGCATCCTGTTTCCACTAATCCAATTCAATACATGTACTAGTCATGTCCCGCTTGCAAGTACCCTTTAATCATAGCAGAGACCAGCTACGACATCTTCTACTTATCT